TCTTTCCCTGCACCTCTCCCCTCAACCCCAACTCCCATTAAAAAATAAAAATAAAAACACAAAAAAAAATCACTTTCTTTAGTGTTGACCTATACATGAGATTTGAAAAATCCAATCTCCTCCATTTTCCTCTTGGCATTTTGGGCGCACATGTACCTGGTATGAGTTTTAGGCCGCTGGGTCTGGGACTGGAACCAGTCGACTACATGGGAGTCCAGTGACATAACCATTACATTATCTGCTTATCTCAACACTTTTTTAAAAAATAATTATTTATTTTATTTTTTATTTATTCATTCGTTGATTTTTTATTTTGACCAGAGAGAGGCAGAGGGTGAGAGTGAGAGAGAAAGTGAGAAAGCAAGCCACCAGGTCCAGGATTTGAACCCCGGTCGGCCATGTGGGAGTGTCCAGTGCCTTAACCATCATGGCACCTGCTGGTCCCTTGACACTTTTCAAAAGATAGAATAATTCAGGTATAAACCAAAATCTTTACAAAACATTAACTTTTCCACCTTTAAAGACAAACGTGGGGGCCAGCAGGTAATGTACTGGTTAAGATTCTGGACTCCCACATGGCTAATCATAATTGGAGGTCCAGAGCTGGCAGCTTAAAACTCACACTGGGTGTGTGTGCATTCAAAATCCAAGGTGGAGAATGGAAGAAAAGGGATCGTGTGGTGTGACCATCCCTCCTGGGATGGTGATTTCTCACTTTCCTTCTCACTGTCTCTCTCCTCTCTGGTGAGCATCCACACCTATGGCAGAATCTTAAAAAAAAAAAAAAAAAAAAAAAGAAAGAAAAAAAAAGGCAGACATGTGACATGTGAATCTTTTCCATTCAATAGTAATAATCTCCTCTGAGGGAAAGGAAAAAGCTGTTCATTGTCATGCCTTATGGGGGGACTTCAACAAGTTTGTGGAGAAACAGAATTAAAGTAGTACAAGTTTTTTTTTTTTAATTTCTTTCTTTTTTTCTTTTTTTTGGAGAGGTTTTTGCGTGCACTCGCCAGAAAGACAGAGAGAGACAGAGAGATAGAAAGCGAGCAATCACCCCCCCAGGAGGGATGGCCACGCTGCAATCCCTTCTCCTCCATTCTCCTCTCAGAATCTTGGTCACACACACACACACGTGCCCAGCGTGAGTTTAAGCCACAGGGTCCGGGACGCGAACCGCGGTGGACTACATGGGAGTCCAGCGACATAGCCATTACACTAACTGCGGGTCCCAGTATAAATTTATTTTGATGCAAAAATTTTTAATACATGCATAATTGTTTCATAATATGCATTTTCTATAAACTTTCTGAAGACCCTTTATATATGATAGTCCCTGAATAAGCATATGCCAAATAAAAAGAATTGTTACAAGAATTTATGTCTAAGACAGGTTTTGCTCCTTACCTGTGGAATGATGCCAGCCTGGCTTTCTTCTTGTTTGCCCATCATTGTATAAGATTTCCCAGCACCAGTCTGCCCATAGGCAAAAATACAGACATTATAGCCCTCAAAGGCATGTAAGAGCATTTCCTTTCCAATGTCATTGTACACACGGTTTTGAGAAGCAAAACAGGGATCTTCAGGCTATAAAGATTAAAAGAAGAAATAAGTGGCATTTCATTCATATTCTTTCCTATACTTATTTGAATACTTCCACAGTATTTGTAAAAGTGTAGGAATCAGAAGTATTACATAAAATATACTGTCCTGCCCTCCACATGAAAACACACATATACCCACAGAGGCACCATTAGAAATAACCCAAGTCAGCCATACATAAAAATATTAATGTGGAATTATCAGGCATGATTACATTTCATTTTTCTATAACCTTAAAGTGTCACCCTTCCATTCATAGGGAGTTCCAAACATATTTTCTTAAGTAGAAAGTGGGGAAAAAAGATCCAAGGTCTGGTCCACATATGAAAACATGTAAGCTCACTTCAGTCAGTGTGACTATTTCCTGTAGAGGTACCTTTCAGTGTTTCCGATTCCCTTCACAGGCCCTTCCCTTAGCAATTAGACTTTGTCAACAGTTTAAGACATCTCCATTTCCCTCCAATACAAAACAGGGGGAAAAAACATACAAGAAAACAATAGATGATGAAGAAGAAAACTCTAGTTTAGGGACATTCCCTGGAAGCCAGGAAGACTGGGGATTCTGCACTAAGTAAGGAAATCATGAAAGACCCCACTCTCCATTTTCCTACTGCTCGGTAATCTGTTTTCGTGGGCCTGCAGGCCAAAATGTTCAAAACCTGCTTTATTCTAGCACAGTTTAAAAAACAAATAACTTCTCTGTGGGCATTCCAATGTTGTAAGCCATTCCCTCAAAACATAATGCTGTTAATTTTAACAACACACAGAAGCAATCTTTAATCTGGCATTTCCTAAAATCTATAAGTATAATAATGTTCATAATTAGAATCCTAAAATACTGATAAATAAGTCCTCAGGGGTGTCTAAATCAGATAAATTAGGTTCACTGTATGTCTAGTGTAAACTAATAGTTCGACATGCCTGTATATGTATGTGTGTGTGTAAACTTTGCATCACCCGAATACATTATTAAGAAAAAGACTTCACTTTTCCAATAGTATACACTATATCAAAAACTGAATTCACGCTAAAGCACACATACAAAACAATACTTGTGGCCTCGTCATGTTAGACTGCACTGGATATTGTGGCTGAGCATGATGACATTACAAGGGAGATCCAGGTTCAATTCTTGATTCACCCTAAAAAGCCAGGTGCGTGCCTGAATCCCACCTACTCAGAAGGCTGATGCAGAGGGACTGCATCATAGAAAGAAAGACCCTGTCTTTAAGGAGAAAAAAAAAAAAAAAAGGCACTCCTCCTCCCTAAACACACACAGAGGATTTGGACCTGCTCTGACTAAGCAGAAAGAGAGAGAAAGGAGGACAGAGTGGGTAGCACCCTTCACCGTGAGTCCACTCACCGAGGTATGAGACCAGTAGGAGTAGTCGAAGCTGAAGGACTTTGGAGCTTCCTTTGGGTTCTTTGGGTTAATAATACCTGGTGGATGAAAATGTTTAATTCTGTAAGTCACTTCTTCTAAGTTCTTGAGCTCAACACGATGTTATATTATACATTCAAAACATCCAAGTCAGTAAATTCATACCAATGAATCTGAACAAGGCAATCAAAAGTCAAAAATAATCATATGCTAAAGAAGTAATTTACATATGGAACTTAGGTAAAATCAGACCAACAACATTCACTGTGTGTTGCCAGTGTTCAGAATAGGACCTGGTATACTGTAGATGCTCTGTAACTGAATGTTTACCCTCCCCCAAATCTGGAAATGGGTTGCATTACTATTTCTAGGCACCTCATAAGGCTTGAAATATTTCAACATGTCAGAATTAAAAATTAGAAAATTAATCAATTAATCCAACCACTATCTGAAACAAATTCTTTCAAAAGATCTTACTATCTACAAGGGATCCTGTGCAAAGTTTATGAAAAATGAATATTATTAAAACCACGGCAGAGGCCAACAGCTGGCATAGTGGTTATGTCGATGGACTCCCACATAGCCAACTACACTTTGAGTCCTGGACCTGGTGGCTTAAAACTCACACCGGGTGTGTGTGTGTGTGTGTGTGTGTGCATGCCCAAGGTCCCAGGAGAGAATGGAGGAGAAGGGACTTCAGCATGGCCATCCTCCCTGGGGGGTGATTTCTCACTCTCCCTCTGTCTTTGTTTCTGTCTCTCTGGTAAGCAAACATACCTCAAGGCAAAAACCTCTTAAGGTGGGGGGGAGGAGGAGGAGGAGGTGGAGGAGGAGGAAGAAGAAGACGACTTCTTAAAACAAAAAGCTAAAAACCAAAATTATGCATAGATGTCAACAATTTTTTTGCACCAAAATGAACTTGTACTTTAATTCCATTTTTCCCGGAACTTGCTGAAATGCCTTCCCATGTGTGTATGTATTCGGTAGAATCACAGACTACTAAATCATCTGTAGTGTTATAAAGTCAAAATTCCTTCTTGACTAGAAAGCGTAAAGTCTCACTGCTCTTATTAAAAGTGATTTCTTGTGTAATTGATCCAGTCATACAGGGGTTGACTGTGAATGCTGAAGCTTAATCTCTTCCTTTCTCATACACAAAAAGCTTTAGCTCCTCATATTACACATGGAACGGAATCTTTGTAACATGTGGTCATGAAATCCCCTCAAAGCCTGAGTATCTCAACCAATCCACTTCTCTAAGGCAAGGCCACATCCCAGGCTATCAGTGAGATCAGGATTAAAAAATAAATCTGTCTCAGGCAGCTGCTGCTCAGGACACAAATAGCAACAGTTGCTAGGGTACTCAGTTCTCACTCTTGCTAAATTCCACTGGGTATGGCCACACACTTAGTTCCAAGCTCAAATGCTGACAGAGTATTAATGAGGCTCACACTGCACATGACCATGTGACAGAGACACATGGTTCTAGAAAGAACATCTCTTCCTACACAAATGGTAATCTAAACAGAGAAGTGTACTTCTAGCCAAAAGGTACTATAATACGAGTGTGATTTATATAAAAGGCAACACTCACAGAGCACTCCCTTTGTGTTGTAAGTACCTTTGTCTCCTCACCAATTCAATGCTCCCAACTACTCAATGAGGTAGATGTGTTCCTATCCCCATTTCACAGATAAATAAACCATCACAGAGAGATTAAATAATTTATTCCGAAATACAGAATTTAAGAGAATTTGGCTCCAGACTTAGTACTCATAGCCAAGACATCATCTTTTTTTTTTTTTTTTTTTTAAAGAGATTTTTGCTATGGGGCATATGTGCTCACTGGAGAGACAGAGAAATAGAAAGCAAGAAATCACCCCACATCCCTGCTAGGGCGTATGGCCACGCCACAATCCCTTCTCCTTCATTCTTTTCTTGTGATTTTGGGCATGCACAAATGTGAACCCAGTGTGAGTTTCAAGCAGCCAGGCCTGGATCTTGAACCGCAGTCGATCATGTGGGATTTCAGCGACATAACCATTAGGGCATTTGCTGGTTACAAGACATCATTATTTAATACTTATTTCCTATAAGCAGCATAAAGCATTTTCATGCATAGACATAAATGTATACATATAGGAATATGGTCACTCTCCTAAAATAATACCACAGGCATTGTTTAAAATTCTATTTATTTAAAATTGGGAAATATGAGGATTATAGTTCCTAAAAGACGAAAGTTCACACAAACCAAGAAAGCGGAAACTAGTGTCAATACTGCATGAGCCAGATTGCAGGTTTCAATGGCTCAGCAATACAAAGAACAATGACGAGACAGAGGATGTGCCCTCTGCAGTAGTTTTCCCCACACAAAACCATGGGTAAAACAAACATTTCTAATCTCTGGAAAATGTGCTGTTGAAAATATTTTAAGCCAAATTTCATTTTACCTTTTAGTTACCAACTCTACTAAAAAAAACTTAAGGACTAGTTCTCAGATCCTATCCCCTTGTTCTCTTTTCCCTAATAAAGAGAAAGAAAAACTACATCAATAAGCTTACTTCCTCAAGTCACATGAAATCTTTTTCCTCTCACAATATTCCCTTCTCCCAGATCTCTAAAGCTTCCAAAATTAATAAATTTTCGTAACTTAGTTTCAAATCCAAGGTGTTTTTAAAATACCTGCTTCTATTTGCAACAAACCCCTTTTTATTTTATTAATATTTTTGATAAGAAAGTCTTTAATATGCTTACATGTCATGTACTTAATGGACAATAAGAAGGTATGTAAACGGTCTATAAAATTTTATCTTTCAGATCATATACTTTTTCTTCAAGATCTGTACATATTCTTTTTTTTAGTTAACTTTATTATTATCATTATTATTATTTTCCAGTTTGATCAGAGAGAGACAGAGAGAGAGGAAGTGAGAAAGCAAGCCAACAGGTCTGAGACTTGAACCGTGGTCGGCCACGTGGGAATCCCGCACCTTTAACCACCATGCCACTTGCCGGCCCCTGTACATATTCTTGTGATCTTCCCAAAACTAGATTTTTTTCTTTTTCTTTTTTTTGAAGAGGTTTTTGCTATAGGGCATGTGTGCTCGCCAGAAACACGGACAGAGACAAAAAGACAGAAAGCGAGAAATCACCCCCCCAGGGGAGATGGCCATGCTGCAATCCCTTCTCCTCCATTCTCCTCTTGGGATCTTGGGCATGCACGCACACTCATACGGTGTGAATTTAAGCCACCGGGTCCGGGACTCAAACCGCAGTCAACTACATGGGAGTCCAGCGACATAGCCATTACACTAACTGCTGGTCCCCCAAAACTAGATCTTGAGTTCAGTTTGACTCATCAGTAGATCTTGGAGAAGCTCTACAAGAATACAGATGCCAATTCAGTAGCAGCTTCTCGTCATTCTCTAGTTATACTTTCTTCCAA